TCAGACTACATTATTAAACTGGAGGTATACTACTGGTATACAAATGTTTTTCTGACTTGAGTTGTAAATAAATTCGATTTAGTCTGATAAAAACTAAGGTTTGATCAATAACTTTAGAAAAAGTTCTGCAGCAAAACAACTGCAAAAACCAAAACAACTTTTCCAAACTTATAAATAAATAGTTTCCCACTTTGTTTCCAAAAGTACCATTTTCCTTTGCTTTTCAATGGAGGTAACAAAAGATCCACTTCGTCATCATTATTTTGGTGGTGTATCCCATCCAAAAAGTCTAAATCATAAAATACTGAAAGAAAATGCTTTCACATTCAGTTGATATATGTATGTATGTAACTTACTATTCTGTGGAAGATCATTTGTAACTTCCTATTCCCTTATTGGGTTTCAAATGGAAATATTTGCTTCGGTCCTTTTTTCATAACAAGTCATTTACTGCATTCTCTATTAATCAAACAGTATTTTACCTGTTTCCCAGAAATGCATGTACTATCTGTATTTTAAAGAGGAAAAACATGAACACAACTGAGGTTCCTTAGTAAGTCTGTTTTTTTTAACCACAGTCTATCAAAAGGATTTTCTAGAAAAGACAATGAAAGGAAATATATGCAGAAAAAAAATGAAGCTCAGATTATTAGATTTTAAAACCATAAAGAACTAATACCATCACATAGCAAGGGACAAGAGCTTCTCTTAAATTGCATTTGTGAAGCTAATAGACCCCAGTATGAAACTTTTTTGGATCTGTTATTAGCAATTGAAGTAACTTCAGTTACTAACACCAGCCCCAATTGGGGGTTGGGCAAAATCCAGGATGCCACAAATCTACCATAGTCCCTACCAGCAGGGAAGCTGAGGTGCTACTGTTCAGCCTGCAAAATACATTGCAATTTATTAGTGGAACAGGGATTCTTAGAGTCACTAATGACTCTATTCATCTATATTTTTTAAAAAAGACATTAAAGAAGTGCTATTACACAAAATATTTCAAACTACTTTTAAAAACCTTTAGAAAACAAAATTTCTTTTAGGTCTGACGGAAATATTATAAGAAAGATTTGAGGCAAAAAAGGAGCTGATAAACTATTTTTCAAAGAATGCAGTAAGTTTTGATCATGCAACTTGAAACTTTCATGTTCTACTGTGCAAATAAATTCCACATCCACTTCCCATTTTCTTTAAAAACATCTAACACGGTCCCTGAATTGTGAATGAGAGTGATGCTAAATGGTGAATTTGGAAGTACAATGGAACACAAGCCATTTCCTAAGCATTGTGTAATAGACAAAACACTCTAAAAATTTGACTCCACTCAGCCAGCCATAGAATAAATATTCAGTTTTTAAGGATTAAAAAAATAGATCTACACCATCCAGAATAAAAACAATTACAAGCAGAAGAGAGATTACAAAACCCCATATTACTTAAGTCAAGTCACTCTATCAATAGAGAGTCATAACTAATTGCACTTGGTTTCAGCTTTTAAATGTGAAGATTTTTAAGTGTCCATTTCTGTTTGATGTTCAAGAGAGGTTAAACTGAAGAAAATCTACAGTGAATATCACAATAAAGGACCTAGGGGAAAGGTTTGACCTGTCTTCATTCTGATTTAAGTTTGATGATGAGAGTACCACTACCTCACAACCCATCAGCAGGTAATTCATAAGGGGGTCAAAGAAAGGACAAGGCTATAGAATCATGCATAATTTAGCAATTTCATCAATAAACAATTCTTCAGATAATAAAAAAGAGCACTGAAAGACACATGTGGAGAAGGCAAAAGGGAACAAAAATACCACCACCATCTTGCAAGCAAATCTTGACTTTGTATGCATACAGGAAACTAAGCAAATAATTCCCCAATTTGCATCAACAACCATGATAATCACACATGGAAATACAGACATATATTTATATTTTGTACATTACACTTCATCCACTTGGGTAGGTGGTTGTGCTGCCTTTGGCTGGGATAGAGTTAATTTTCTTCACAGTAGCTAGTACGAGGCTGTGTTTTGGATTTGTGCTGTAAACAGTGTTGACAACACAGGGATGTTTTCGTCATTGCTGAGCAGGGCTCACACAGCGTCAAGGCCTTTTCTGCTTCTCACCCCTCCCCACCAGCGAGCGGGCTGGGGGTGCACAAGAAGCTGTGAGGAGACACAGCTGGGACAGCTGACCTCGACTGACCAAAGGGATACTCCATACCGTATCACATCATGTTCAGCCTACGAAGCTGAGAGGAGGAAGGGGGGCACATTTGAAGTTATGGCATTTTGTCTTCCCAAGTGTTATGCATGATGGAGCCCTGCTTTCCTGGAGGTGGCTGACCACCTGCCTGTCCATGGGGCGTAGTGAATGAATTCCTTGCTTTGTTTTGCTTTGCTTGCGTGCGCGGCTTTTGCTTTCCCTATTAAACTGTCTTTATCTCAACTCACAATTTTCTCACTTTTACTCTTCTAATTCTCTCCCCCATCCCACATGGGGGGAGTGAGCAAGGGCTGTGTGGTTCTTAGTTGCCAGCTGGTGTTAAACCACAACAGTGATGATACCGCAAAATTAAATGAGGTAAATAAATAAGAACAATGAACAAGAGGGAAAAAGCAGTAAAAAAATTATTCAATCACCTTGGACTTCACAAATTTAGCTTTAGTAACATAATAGTCAACATTAAAGGCACAAAAGCAAAACCTCTAAAAGGTAAAACTCTTTACAGAAACATGTAGCTACAATGGTCTAATCAGACCTGACAGTCATTCTGATTATTGAATGCTGAAATAGTCACAAAGAATTTCTCTTTCTTGTGTGTTGCAGTCTACCAGATTTTTTTTTTTTGTAGCATGGTAGAACTAATACTTCTAAAAGCTATTACTAGCAATTCATATTTCAAATTACTGGAGAACAGAAAAGCAGAAAGTCTTTTTTCATCATCCCATGGTCACATGGGATTGATTAATTAATCAATTTAATCAATTAATTAATTTTTCTTTAATTTAAGAAAAACTATCATTCCAAATAGATTTCTAGTAAGTAATACTCTAATGTAGGATGCTAAAAAGAAATTTTAATATACAACATCCTACAACATCTAGAAATATTTTCATTTATTGTTTATATCTATAAACATTCATTTTTAAACATCAGACTCTAATCATGAATAAATAAAAATTAAATACAGAATTTCTTTAAATTTGTTTTTGTTTTAACTTTTATAAATGTTAACTATGATGCCTCTATTCCAGTCAACCTTATGACCACAGATCTTCCAAGTGCAAAGTCTCATCATACTAGATATTAAACAACAGGTAAGAGAATAGTCAAGGAGAGTAGGTATGGAGTCAAATGCTTTACTGAGTTAACTATCTTAGCTGCGATACTCTGAATTTCCTTTCCACAGTACTTTTTTTTCAACCCAAATATTATAAGATGACAAGCATAGGATTTTTTACAGTGTAATATGACACTACAAATGCAAAAATTTAGATACCAGAACAAAGCTAGAATTCCAGTCACTATCACATTGGCTAAACATACACTGTATAGGTATGCAAGAACATATTTTTACAGAAATAGTGTATAGCAATATGTTAGTACTCAGAAAAAATAAAATGCAATTCTTTGAGACAAAGCAATGACAACATTTTTTACTTTCATCTCAATAGCACATAAAAGAAAAAAATCACTTCTGTCTACAAGTACCAAAAAAAGGTCAGTTATAAAGTTAAATGGACTGATGTAACTCTTTAATATTAATTTTATATAAATTACATGACAAATTTTATTTTACCCTGGATTATTCTCTACAGTCTAGGGATTATTCCACATGCAGAACATTAGGTAATTACAGACACATATCAGCCTGTGTTAGGTCTATTGTTTTGTGAATGTCCCTCTCACCTTTTCCCTTTACCCTTTTTCAGGAGGATAATTGATAGCATTTTACACCTAAATTTAAATTACACATACAATTCCTATGCCACTGGGATTACACATTGAAGTGCCTTTTGTGCCTGTCTTTCCAGTGTCTGAAACCACAGGACTGCTTGCATTCTGAATAAGACGTTAACGTTCCTTCTCTTTCTCTTTTCTGAGACAGACACATCTGTTTTGCTCTATCTTTTTGTTGTCTTCACCATACTATGCCAAACTTGTGAGTTTCATTCAGGGCATGGGTAGAGCCTGACAATTTTTAAATTTTGGTCACCTAGACTCACATTTAACCTCCATGTTTAGGTGACATCCTGTTCTTAAACCCATTCTTACAGCTCAGAACACAGAACTAGGATCTATTATTTATGCACTTTTACCTGCCTTTTCAAGGTGGCACAGTGTAATACATTTAAGTGGAAGCAAGTAACCTCAACTTTTTACTCACAAAGGATATCATGTCCTTCTCAAATTTCAGTTCTCACACACTGCAACAGATGTTCCTTGCACAATGGCTTTCCGCTACTATGTGAGTGATGGAATAGGAAATCTTATAAAGAGATATAGAAGGAAGATGAGGAAGAAAGTGAGACCTAGTTAGCAGTCACAAGCATTTGGTAGCCATCTTAGAATTTTTGTTTCCCAGATATATTCCCAGGTCCAGGTGACATATAATTAGCATTACTGTAAGCATGTATAATTTGTGGGAAAGGGGAGTGTAGTCTTTTATCCTTCTATAACCAATACAGTTGAGGTATTTTGCCTATAAATTCCTCTCCTCTGTCCTTCATTTTGCACACAACACAATCAATTATCTCTTGACACTAACAAATAAACAACAATCTATAGCTCATAAAAATTAAATGTGGCACTCTATTCTTATATAACTCTGGCTAGTTTTGTACAATCAAGTTAATTATATTATTTAGGAGAACCAAATGTGTGTAGAATATATAAAAATGAAGATAACTTCTAAATTTTTCTTGCATGTTGGACTTTAATTATATTTCTGAGAATTCTGTAAATAGAACCCAAGTGGTAGGAGAACTGGGATTTTTTCACATGGAATCAATCTGTTCTTGAAAGCTGATTGCTTGTTTATAGTCTTCTATAGCCTCTTTATTGAAACCCAATTTACCACGAATATCAGCTCTAAATTTATACATCAGGGCATCATTAGGCTGAATTGACAATGCTGTAAAAATAAGAAACATAATGTTAGGCTTTTTTTTTTTTTAACATTATCACATGGTTATAAAGAGAAGCATCATGCAAAAACTTTTGTCGGTGCTCAAATTCTTCTGCAGAGATGCTTTCACAAGAGAAAACATATTACGTACATTAACATTACATCAAGAGTTAGGCAACTTTATGTTATTTAATACTTCAGATTTTTTTTCTCTTTTTGATGCCATTTATAAATCCCACTTTAATTTTGCCCCAACAGCAGAAATTATGCTTTCCTCTGAAACACAAGCAAAATCTTAGAGAAGAAAACTATCACCATCCAACTTCTGGAACATGGCAATGAACCCAGTATCTTATTCAATTTCTCCATTGTATAAAAAGGATTTAGGTACTTGTTGAGAAGCTTAATCTGCTCTTTTAAATTCTATTTTAGAGAGAAAATTTTTTGAAAATCAATCAACTCCCTGGTCTAGTCAATTTTCACCATCTAACACTATTAAAATATTAGTCATGAAAGCCATGAAGTAAAAACACTATTTTGATAAATTCCGCTGTAAAAGTAAACTAATTTCTAAAAATAAAAAAAAAGAAAAAAATCTAAAGACAGTTTTTCTTTCAGGAAAGATCATTACCTGTGCAATGAAGTGTTCTCAAATCAAAAGTCACGTTACTAAATTCTGTTTCAATAAAATTAACACAACCTAAACATAGCTTTACTTACTGGAAGAAGTTTGCCTGTGCTGAATCTCATGTTAGTAGAAATGACAAAAGCAGCAATGGAGTACTATAGCTCAGCTGTTTTGAACCTGAACAAAAGGTTTGGTTTTTACTAAGATCAAGATGAAAATTTTATTCAGTTCCTCTTCTCTATGAACCATGTCTATTCCCAACAGAAAGGCGTATGGAAGCCAAATTCTGTTTTAAAACTTATTCTACAAAGAGCATGTTCATTAAACTTCATGTTTATATATAAAATAAGCTACCTGAATGTTGTTTTCTAGATACCTAGATATCTCAACACATACACACACACAAACTCACAAAAATTTTTCAGACTTGGTAAGTATACGTCGTGGTTTCGTGGTAAGTATATGTCCTGGCTGAAACCAGGACAGTATAGTATTTTCCTATAACTTCTTACCACAATTTCATTTAGAATGGGACTCTTTTCAGCTGTTAAAGACACAAATTATATGAAACAGTTTATCTTCTAATTTACATAGTCTTTAAATTTTGTGAATTTAAAAAAATACAATTACATAGCATGTTTACTTCAACTTCCTCTTTTTAATCACATCATAATGTCTGATGAAATTAGGTAGAAAATATACTTAGCAAAAATACACACATACTTTCTGGATCATGAAATAAAGCCAAATAATTTGTTACCATAATCGTTAGTATGTATCAAACATAATCATGACAGATAAAGATTACCTGTTGAAATGTCTTTCTCAGCTAGTTCATATTGCTTCAATCCATTATAGAAATTTGCCCTGTTAAAATACACTGCTGCAGAGAATGGGCAGAGACAAATTGCCTTCTCAAAGTCTTCTTTTGCTTCTTCAATATTGTTTAGTAATGTATTTGTAATAGCACGATTCATAACAGCAGATTCATTTTTTGGGTCAAGTTGTAATACCTTGGAATAATAGCAATAGGCCTACAAAATGCATGAATTGGAGACAAAGTATGCTGTTAAAATTTGAGGAAATGGCTCACGTAAAACTTGTAAGTTCCAGGTTTTTTCTCTAAGCCATTAGTATTCTTAAGTCTTTACTCATTCTGTTTAGCATTCATTGTGCACAGAAAAGAGAGACAGAGCACCAGCATGTTTATTTACAAATATGTCGATCACCACTCAGACAGACTTTTGAAAAGTTACAGCTGTTTATGCTGAATTGTAATTATAGCAGAAGAAATGAGCTACACAGGCCAATTTGAGTTAACATCGAAAATAGTTTATAATGCAACACCTATCCTTAAACTTCTTTCTTCATAGTTAGACAGCTTTTGTGAGACAGTAAGGAGTCACAGAAACACAGCCAAGAGGAAGAACAACATATGCAACACCAGTCATGGAAGAATGATACCAGATGCATAAGAAAACATATTGCTTGATCACAGAAGAAGCCATATGCAGGACACTGACCTTGGACTTCTACGAAATTTCTGATCAAGTCTAACTAATTCTCAAGAGCAACAAGGAATCTAGGTCAGAGAAATATACAACAATAAATTGTTTTCTTACACGATCTATTTCTTGTGCTGTATGAAGTACAATCTAGGTTTAAAGTTGTATGCCAAGCCTGTGCTATACGTGATGAATTCCTTAATAAGTGAACTGCAAGCTGAAGTGTTTACAGATGCAGCTCTAGGAGAGAATTAATTCAAGTAGATGAAATGTGCTGAAGCATCCATGCTGGTTCCGGGTTTCCACAGCTGCTGGAGCACAAAGCTCCAATCACATAAAAGCCTGAGCCTATGCCCAGGAAACATGACTGGAAGACCAAAGGAAAAATCATTGCAGGGGCCTCCTCCCACAGAGGAAAATAAATAGTCCTTGCCTTCAAGCAGATTTCAAATTCTCTCACAATGGAGATTTCAGTATCCAACTCTCCTGTATTTGAAGATACCCACTGTATTTAAGCAGAATTAGGTGATTTAAAACTCCAAAGTTACTACAGTAACAGAAGGAGGATCTGATTTGATTAAAGTTCATCAACAGGAGATTCTTTTCATTCTCCTTGTCATGGTGCTACAGTGAATCTGGGCGTTATTTAAGGAAGGGGAGTTAGGCTGAGGGGGAATTTACTGAACATCAGTGGGATTTTGGTAATTCTATTTACAAATTTTTGTGATGTGTGTCCTAGCTGTCATGAATCTTAGTTCATTCATATCAATGATAAAATACATAGTAGTAGGGCAATTATTTATTATTAATTACTACAGATTAATTCATCTCCTGGTAGAGGAACATGAAATTCAATGTAAGAAAGCTTCATGTTAATTATACTTAAATACAGCTTCATACCAGCAGTATTTATTCAAGGAAAAAATTTCTGAAAACAGTATAAAAACAGACTGTAGACTTACCTGTGAAAACTGTCGATTATGGAAGTAGATATTTGCTGCATTGAAGTAGGCTAATGCATAGTTTGGATCAACAGAAATTGCTCGTTGATAGTCCATCATGGCACAGGGTAGATATCCCATTAACTGATTGATGACACCGCGATTGGTTAGCAGCGGAGCCGTGGTAGTGAGCTGAAGGGAAAATGTAGATGCATTCTTACTCATGGAAAATTTACACTTCTACAGTAATTTATACTTGTTTTCAAAGATACATTTACTTTACAAAAAAAAAAATTCAACTGCACCTTCTAATCCAAATTAGCAACTATTAATGTGCAGTATCGGCTGGCTTCACAGCAACAGATTGATTTTAGTAAAAGCACTTTAAGCTAAAGTCTACCTTTAGTGCAGCATTTGTATCTTGAAATGCAGCAAAAGTTTCACCCATTTGAAGACAGACTGAAGCTCGTCCATCATATGCAGCATGGCATTTTGGATCAATGCAAATGGCAACTGTAAATTGTCTCCATGCTCTCTGAAGCTTTCCAAGGGCCTAAAATGAATTGCAATGTGTCCACAATAAGAAACATAAGAAATGCCAAAGATACTAATGGTTCCACTTCAAAAATTACAGCAGCGAATGGAAGCACGCTTATATTTACAAATGCAGTTAACTAAATTACAAAAAAATAACTTAAATATCTTGTCAATTATGCAATACTCATTGCCTTTACAACTATGTAATGTATCTGTCACAACTGTTTTAACTGCAAGTATTACCTCTTCTACATAATAGAATCACAGAATGATTGAGTTTGGAAGATGGATCTCTGGAGATCATCTAGGCCAACCCCCTGCTCAATGCAGGGTCAGCTGAAGCAGGTTGCCCTGGACCATGTATAGTTAGATTTTTAATATCTTCATGGATGGAGACTCCACAACCTCTGTGCACAATCCGTTCCAGTGTTTGATCATCCTCACAGTAAAAAAAAAAAAAAAAAAAAAAAACCAACAAAAAAAAAAACACAAACCAAAAAAACCCATAAACAACTATTTCTGATGTTTACATGGAATGTCCTGTATTTCAGTTTGTGCCCATTGCACTCTGTCCTGTCACTGCACATCATTAAGAAGAGCCTGGCTCCACTTTATTTATACTCCTTCATCAGATATTTACACCTGTTTATAAGATTCCCCCTCTAAGCCTTCATCTGTCTTTCCCTTCTGCTTGTATGACAGATGCTTCAAGTCCTTAATCATCTTAGTGGCCCTTTGCTGGATGAGCGCCTGTATCTTCACTTCTCTCTTGTACTGGAGAGCCCAGAACTGGACACAGTACTCTAGATGTGGCCTCACCAGTACTGAACAGAGGAGAAAGATCATCTCCCTCGACCTTCTGGCAATGTTGCTCCTAACATAGCCCAGGATATCATTTGCCTTTTTCACTGCAAGGGCACATCACTGACAACTTCATGTTGTTGTCCATCAGGACCGCAAAGTCCTTTTCTGCAAAGCTGCCTTTGAGCCAGTCAGCTCCAAGCTTGTAGTGATGCATGAGGTTATTCCTCCCTAGATGCAAACCTCCTCACTTTCCTCTGTTGTACTTCATGAGGTTCCTGTCTGCCATTTCTCCAGGCTGTCCAGCCCATCATCCCTCTAAATGGCAGCACAACCATTTGGTCTATCAACAACTCCTCCAAATTTTGTATCATTTGCAAGCTTGCCAAAAGTGCACTCCATCATCCAGGTCATTAATTAAGACGTTCAACAGTATTGGACCCGTTACTGACCCCTGAAGGTACTTCACCAGTGACTGGACTCCAGATGGACTTTGTGGTACTAATAATGACCCTTTGAGGCTGACAGTTCAACCAGTTTTCATTTCACCTCACTGTCCACTTATCTATACTCTACTTCACCAGGTTTTCTAAGATGACGTTACGAAAGACTACTGAAAGTTTTGCTAAAGTCAAGATAAACAACATTCATTGCTCCCCTCTCATTCACCAAACTAGTCATCTCATCATAGAAGGCTATCAGGTTGATTAAGCATAATTTCTCCTTCATAACCTCATGCAGACTACTTCTAATCCTTCTTGTCCTTCATGTGTTTAAAAAGTTTCCAGAATTATTTGCTTCATCACCCTTCCAGAGATTGAAGCAAGGCTGACCTGCCTGTAGTTCCCCTTCCCCAGATCCTACTTCTTGCCATTCTTGAAGATAGGAGTGACATTTACTTTCTTCCAGTCTTCAGGAACATCTACCAATTGCTACAACCTTTCAAAGATAATTGAGAGTGGCCTCACAGTGATGTTAGATAGCTCCTTAGGACTTGTGGGTGTATCCCACTAGGTCCCATGGAGTTGGGTATGTCCATTTTGTTTAAATGTTTCTTAACCTGATCCTCCTCCACCAAGCATAAGTCTTCCTTGCTCTGGACTTTTCCACTGGTCAGAGACTTGGAATTTCTGAAAGCCAGTCTTACCAGTAAAGACCAAGGTGCAGAAGGCATTGACTAGCTCTGCATGTCCTTTGTCGCCATATCCCTAGTCACATTCAGCAAAAGGCCCACATTTTCCCTAATTTTCCTTTTGCTGCTAATGTACTTCTAGAAACCTTTCTTGTTGACCTTCATGTCCCTCACCAGATTCAACTCTTGATGGGCTATATATGAGCTTGTGACCCAAAGACTTGTATAGTGGACTTTGCATAGAAGTAAAATTAAACCACTAGGTTGTTCTGCAAAAGTACCTCCCCTGGACAGTCAGATGGAACTCTGGTGTACTGTACTTTGTGAAGGAATTCTGGGCAAGTAGGCCACTTGGGACCACAGGTAAAATGTAAACATTTTACCTAATATACATATTAATTAAGCAAAGGTGGAAGGCGAATCATCTAATTCCCCTCATGTGTCTATGCTTATGCCCCAAAACATATAATAAGGTTTAAGAGAAGGCATCTAGTGGGATTTAGGCCTCTCGGACATGAAGCACCTGCCACTATGGGAGTTTTCTGGGTTGTCTCCTGCACCTATGATGTCTAATTCCTACCTATGTCATACCCCTACCTACTCACCAATATAGTCACTCCAGGTTTTTCTCTTGCACAGTACTTCCCAAAGCACTGTGAAAGCATTAGTTAGAATTTAAGCAAATTGGCAAAGCTGTAAAAGGAAATTTGCATGACACCTCTGCAAGACTACCCGACACAGGCTACTAACATTAGTCCCTCTCTTATGTTGGCAAAAAATAATTCACAAGAAGATTCATGAGAATTCAAGACATTTCAGACAACTGGATATAATAAAGCCCAGTAACTAAATGAAAGAAATTAGACACAGACAAAAACTGTCAAGTCTTATCATATATCCCTTTGCTAATATAATTCTGTGTAGGTAAGTAGCTCTCAGAGATCATTATATATAAAGTCCTTTACCAAGGGATTTTAGCAGATTTGCTAACAGTATATTTTGGATAATTAGGACATACAAGATTTTGTTTTACACAGATTTGCTTCAGTAAACAGCTCATACAAACAAAACATGCCAGTTCTTAACGTTAGTTTATCAGAGAACCATATATGCAAATCCAACAAGTGTAAGGTTACTTGATATTCCATTATTCAAGTGCAGAACTCCAACAAGATTGGGCATAAAAGTGAAAAGAAAATAACGGTCTATCCTTTTACTTAAAAAGAAAGAAGATGCCATACGGTTTGTCTGAAGTACATGGATTGTTTTATGTTTATTATGATTATTTTATTTATTATATAACTGTATGCATATAAGGTTGATGTTATTTTGTTTGATTAAACATAGCATTGACAATGAATTTTGGTGTGTTACCTGCAAGTTGTATCCTAAGCAAATTCTGGCTTTTATGGACTTTGGATTCAGGTGAATTGCTCTCAGGAAATCTTTCTGTGCTTGTTTACAACCAGCCTCACGACCATTTTCCATGTATGAATTTCCTCTTCCAACATAGGCATCCACAGAAACAGGATTTAGTTTGAGAACCTGGTCAAATGATCTTACAGCTTCTTCAAACTCATTAAGTCTAAAAACAGAATTAAAGTTTGCTGTTTAAAAATTCTATAAATAAGATTCTCAATTTATGAATGATCAGCAAATACTACCCCATAATGCCCACTGAAAGTAGTCTAATTATGACTGAAAGGGACAGGTTTTTTTCCCTTAAGTTTGCTTTCTGTATGCGCTCCCTGATAGTTATAACAGTGAAGGTAGTCACTGTAAGACCTTGCAGACTTCAGTTTGAATTCCTTGGCCTGAGGAAGAAAACAGAAAAACTCTCATGAACTTTTGCTGGGCCAAGATTTCACCTTTTCAACAGTTGTACTCATCAGAGAGACTGAGTCATTCATGCTGTCCAAACGTCATGACCAAACATGTTTTTCGTAGTCTGTTCAGGCACAGATGTTCCAGCCATAAATAATTTACTTCTAATACAAGTCTCTGTTTTTTCTCATACAGATTCTTGAACTTATCCAAACTATGCTAAACTTTCAGTATAAAAAGAGACAATATTCAGGGTTCTAAGCATAGACTAAGTTCTGGTCTAAGAGTAAGCCTAATGTAGAACTCCATCCTTAGATAAAACTTAGTGCATCTGGGGTATACTGAGAAGGAATAAAAAAGATTAAACACCTGAAATGTCAATGGATGCTAGTAAGTATCTTTACATATAACGTAAAAACTTCAACGTGTCAAAGTACAAAAACTTTTTACCAAGATGATACTGAAAGATACTGTTTGAATATAAGCTACCTGTGTCTCCCTGAAGCACACCCCAACTTCTTTACCAAAAAAGGAAAGATTAAATATATTTAGTCAACAAATAACTTTAAGGGCTGTAAAGCAAATGCTTTTTAAAAGCACAACACTCATTGCAAAAACAAATTAGGGCTTCATTCTAATCCTATTGATAGGCTGTCATGAGGCTAGAGACTGCAGGATAGATCCCAAATGGATCTTAAAACAGGTTATACAGTTGAATTATATAGTTACAAGTGACTCTTTTTGACAGTTGAGTGCAGACATGGGCACCAAAATCATGTGCTTAGTTCTTAGAAGCAGAATTCAGCATTCCTGTGTGAGTTCTACATCACCCAGACACAGAGATGGAGCCAGTTATGCCCTAACTACAGGCATAGGAACAAAAGAAGTTTTGGTGCTACAATCCTTAATATGTCCACCTCCACATTGCCTCAGCAGCAACAAGGTTAAGCAGTGATAGATGGCAGAGTAACTGTAGAATAAAATAGATTAGACTAAGCTAATAGGTACATAGCTATCAAAATTTCCTTTTTATTATAGATGATATTTGTGTGAAATAGGAGCTGTCAGCTCCAAGTGCCACTGTGACAAGTAGACTAAGACACTAATGTACATCTTATTTCTTCCAATTTACATCTATTTTAAGTGATTAACAGATTTAATTTAGTCTTTCTAAATAAATCTCATCTTGATAAAACTACACTTTAGAATTTCCAAATTAAAAATTCAGGTAAGGAAGACCATTGAGGCTTTTGCTTTTCTTTGAAGGACAAAGCACATATTTAAACAGAAATTGCATCCTAATTCTGAACAAATTAACCCAACTCTATTTATCTCATAATTCTTTGTTCTCCAGTCCTCTTGGTTCTATTTTATCATCCTAATATTTCCTCCTGACTGTCATGAACATATAGTTCCTTGATACCAGAAGATTTTAATACCAGTTGTTAAACTTGAAAAATATCTAATTTTCTTTTTTCCATTCCCCTTTACCATTTTCCCCTCCCCCAATTCTCAGCGTACTCAATACGAAAAGGTGAACAGGAATATAAAGATCAGGAACTATTATATTTTTCTGTTCTTCATCAAATAAAACTACATATCTTACCTATGATAGCAGATTCCAATAGCTTGAAAGATCTGGCTGTCGTCTGGACTAAGCAATGTTGCTTCTTTAAAGTCCTGAAAAGAACAGACATTAAACCATGCAAGTTGATATTGTTTCACTTCACCTACAACTGTGCTTTTAGCTAAACAATTTTATACTTCTATATAAAAAGGGAGATGACTTCTGACAAAGGCATTATACATTCAGAAGTACTGGAGATATATTCAACTGTTTTCATACTTCTTGTCCCAGACTTTGATACAATAAAATCTCCAAAGTTATGTGGTATCATGGTATTTCCTACAAAGCTGGAGGCAACATTTCCAGAAACAAAACTTTCCAGAAAGGTATTTTTTTGTTTGTTTTTAATAGAAATACTGTACCTCAGCTGCTATTATTAAATACATATGTATTGGAAATATATTTTGCTGCATTAAATTTTAATACCATTCTTCCAGTAATAAAATTATCTAGTTACTTCCTGATATTACTTTGACAAATGTAGTAAGCCAAAGTCATATTTGCATTGCAAGACTCTGTGCACAATGTTCCAGTGAAAGACTTCACAGGGCTTTTGACTTTTGCCTTTTACTAGCATTCAGATCACTTTTCAAAATCCTTGTGCTTTTGATATATGTGGTTCAATGGTAAAAACTGTACAGGTGCTTTTAAAATAAAATACAATCATTTCAATTATGATGTAAGGAAGCACTTTAGGCTTCTGCAATGAAAAGCAACCAGTATGTAGTTGGAGTGGTGGTTTAGCTGATGCATCCACTGAACTACAACTTAGAAAGCATCTTTTGTTCATTCAAATTGTAAATGTAATATGTGGAAGATTTTAGTACTGTTGGAATTACAAAACTGGCAAGATAATGATGTGGACAGATATATATTTATATTTTGTTAAAATAAAACCTCTCTTTTGGTAGACACACTATCATAAAATTATAGGTCTGTTTTTAAAAACCTACTGAGACACACTGTTGCCATGCAGCAAAGCCTTTCAAAGAATACCCAGCAAAGGTAAATGGATTTTTCATGTGCACAATTTGGAGTATACACTCTGCTCTGTGTATGGAGCAGAGCAAAAGCAGGATCAGAGTTCCAAGGACCAGGTGTGGTTTACTTAAACCAAAGGTGCTATCGTCACAGGTAACTGCACACTTCACAGAATCAACAGGAAAAGACACCTCCATATAGCAATTCAGATTTTATATAGACTGAATTGTAACTTTTCCTTTTTCTTCCAATGTACCCAATTCAGGGATACACTCACTTCAAGTAGTATGTATCTGTGCTTAAGTAATTATATCCTAATTCAACCAGCACTATACATGTATACAGATATACTCCTTGCAGTAAAATATTATCAGAACTGATACATAAGAAAGTCTCAAGCATATTTATAATCACTGATTTTTTTTAAATTAACTGTTATATTTTTGTGTCTGTTGTTCAATTACCATTTTGTAAATTTGTCTTCACTACAATCCATTTAAAGAACTTTTTGCTTATCCTATTGGTTCTGCCTCAGTCTCTTTCTACTGGCCTTACATATCAGTTTGTACCACCTCAGCCTCTTTTCTGAACTGTTCTGATCAACTGCATCTTGAAGCATGAGCCCAGTAACACAGTATTTCAGCTTAAATTATTTCTATACAAGGTCTACCAACTGTAAAGAGCTTTTGTTGTGCACTTCCAGTTGGACATTTCTGGGTCATTGGAATGGGATTCATATTCATTCTTCATTTTTTATTTCAAAATAAGAAGATACTACTCAATTTTTAGAATGTCAATGCTGAAGTTCTTGCTACCACATAAAGAAGATAAAACATTTTAAAGTTACTAGTCCACAATGGAAGCAATGAATGCACCAGTTATACTGAAAAGAAATACCCCTGCTTTAAAAAAAAAAATAAAACTTTTAGAAAACTTTAAAAATACTTAAAAGTCAAAAACAAAAACCCATGTGTATGAAAGAGTAATGTTTAACACCGTTAGGTTTCAAGCCTACTATTGCTATACAAGATGGAGTTCCATGGAATGAGAGTCATCTGCACTGTAAATCAGAGTCAGAAACACATACTATTTTTTTACATTTAAGAAAATAATCTTGAGGTCAGGCCCTTCCTATCCTTTCAATAAAAATGGTCATTTACATACACACACAATACACAGAGGAAAAAAACAAGCCAAACTAATCAGAACCTCCATTTACTTAGGCTTCTGCAATGAATTAGTACTCACTTGGACCCAGCATAAATTGCTTCAACATTAAAAAAGAAGGAAAAATTAGGATCTTGCTTATTAAATTTTGTGCAACTCCCATGTTTAACTCTAGCAGCATAAAATTGCAAAACAATTAAAACTTAAAACTGCATTTTATTCGCATCTTCACACCCAGACTCATATTAGGTGTTGTGTACATGAGAACTGGGCACAAACTATTTCAGAAGAATATAAAAACTGTCAAGCTGTTTTTAATATCAGCAATGGCTAACATTTAACAGAAACTCTAAATTTCCTTTACTCAAAGAAGGATTTTGTACCTCACATGCATTAGCATAATCACCAAGTTCCACATAGAGTAGTCCACGATTAATTAACACTTTGAAAGCTATTTCCTTACTCAATTCAAGCAGAAGAATAATTCCATAATCTTTCAAAGCCTACAAAAACACAAAATTTATTTTAAACCATAATTTATTCAAAGAGATACAATGATACTTCAAAATTTAAAATACATGCTTTCAAATTCCTATAAATCATGTGCACATACACAGACTTCAGTAGCACTGGTTATTCCAGTGTTTCACTATTTCCAGATTGAATTTAACCAAGCCTTCTATAATTACATAGATACCCATTCCTGGAGTACAGATGGAAAGATAATGCAAATATATTAAACAGACATAATTAGAACTTGTTTTGTCATTATATAAATTTAATATATAATTAACATATATTAATAGATATTAAATTAATATAATTTAAATAAATTCATTACTTCTGCTAAATTTTATGCTCAAATTCTTATTAAGACAACAACAAATTATTCTGGATTAATTAGTCATGAATTAATGTTAAAGTAAGGTAATTCTTAAATTAAGTATCTTCAAATAAAATTTATTGTTATTGAAAAATCTAAGTACTAGTTGTATTAGCTAAATTTGGGTGTAAATTTTGTAAAAGAGCAAACAGTGACATGACTAGGTAGAGTGAAGAAGCCTCAATTCTCAAATTTATCAAAACTGAACAGCATTTCAACAATGCTTGATCTGAAGAAGTTCTAGCCCAACTCTTTTTTCACCTGAAAAATTAACTTGTATAGTACACTAGAATAACTAGTTGGTTTAGAGCTAAGATGACAAAACTGCCCTTGACTGCAGTATTCCATATACTAGCCACTTAAGTTTTACTCTTTGTCTCTTCTAAACTAAGGTAGATATTAGAAACGGCTTTAAAGAAAACAATCCAGTTCTTGTTAGATCTAGTAGATTTCTTCTGTCAATAATATACTACATTTTTTTCTGCAACTGCCCTTGTACTTTAAGTGGCTTTTCTGGAGAGTAATAGCAAAGAACAATTTTTATACTACTTTATGAAGGAGCTATCATTTTCACATCTCAAACTTTTTCCTTCAGTTACTGTAATCACCTGTTTTTTTTAACCCATCTGCATCATTCTTGGACAATTAAACTCTAAGCACAAATGGCCTTTGCCCAAGGTCGATTTGACTTGAGATGTCTGACTTCAAATACTTAGGAACTAGCCCTGTCTCAGAAAACAGGCGTCATCAAAGAGACAGTTCAACATGACCTTGTTCCCAGATTGAGGCTGCATGGTGCCTTTTTGTGACCTGTTGTGCCTTTGCTTTATAACAAAGGTAGAAAGCAGAAACACTCAGAGGCAGCTTGCAGGCAAGTCAACAGAAGTACAAACACATCCAGAAAAACAGGGCTGTGAATAAGAATTGGACATAGTCCAAGTCCCTGCTTTGATGTAGCCTTCTTCTGGATATAGTTCTTCTATTTTCAAAGGGATATCAATTAATGTCATTAATACATTAGTAGAGACCAAAATTTTTAAACAATTGCCTGAAAAGCGCAATCATTGAGGAAGACATTGCAAGAGGTCAGAAATTTTAACTGTCAACAACAGGTTACTAGCTAATATGAACGACTGAGTGCTTATGTGATGTTGACAAAAATTAATACCATACCTTTCTGAAGTCCTTTATTTGATGATAGCAGACAGCTCTGTTATAATATGCCAAAATACAGGTTTTGTTGAGGTCGATAGCTTTTGAAAGATCTTCAATTGCAGCTTTAAATGTCTGCAAATAAAAAAATCGCCACGTATAAATTTTAATTGAGAGTGCATGGCACTGCATATTCTTCCTCAAATAATAGCCTGTTGTAAAATTTTACCTCATAGTTTTACATTTTGGTTCTTCATCAGTACTGAAAGGCATTCAAGCATTTCACTATGTCCTCTATGGACTAGTTACTACAGTCCTTACTGCAGTGGGAGCCCTTCTTCAGAAGCTCTATTTGTGCAAAGACTGGGCAAACATTCTTAGTGTTTTCTTACATCACATCATATACTGCAATACATAATCAATCCTTAATTTTACTAGCTTACATTTTATATCTTAACCTAACATAGAAGATATGTTTCATGGAGTTTTGGAATGTCTGTCTATCACTAGGTAAGAACCTATTCTGTGGAACTTAAGAGGAGAATAACCTGATGCTCCGTAGCGTCTACAACACATCAATCATTTTCAGTTACACAGAACAACCAGAGAGCAGCTTCAATGAGGAATGGAAAGTATAATAATCAAGGGGAATTCTTAGTTTCCATCAGCAACACTTTTATCATTATTTCACCATTCCAAAGTGTCAAGTAAGATACATTAAGTTTTACGGGAGAATGAAAAAGTACAATAATAAAAACAGTCTCACCTTATTTTGATACTTTAAAGTTCCTCGGTAAAAATAAGCTCGCACACTGTTAGGAATAATTTTGATTGCCTCATTGCAATTCAGAATTGCCTTAGAATATCTACCTTTACTTCCATAGTAAGCAGCACGACTCATATATGCCTGTAGAGAGGAAGACAGAACAATGACATGGTAAAAAAAACTATCTTTGTTTAGCATTATAAAACAAGGGTTAAATAGAAGACAGAAATTACAAGTTTATAGAAACATACACCTTACAAAGCTTGCAATATCTTTAATGCTTGCCATGTGCTTGCTGGCAGATTACAAGGCAATACACCCATAAATGCAAACCTGTCAGTCTTTGAACCCATCCAAAAATGCCTCACAGAAACAATCAGGAGTCTTTATATTACCTGGAAATGTGACGGACAGAGAGCAAGTGCTTGATTGAAGTCTCGGATGCACGTAGCTTGTCTGAGCTGCATCCTACACAGTCCTCGCTGATAAAAAGCATCAGGGTAACTTGAATGTAGTCTGATAGCCATACTAAAAGCATCATGGGCCTAAAAGGATGACATATCATCCAGGTTAAATATGGTCTGTTTGTTTAGTTGAAACCACAGGCTAACTGATTCTTTTGTACAGGTAGGTATGACCTATTTTTGCAGTTGGAACCCACCTGCATTGTGCATTGGTTTTTATCACTTTCATCCATTTACTGTTACTTAAAATTTTGTCATGTTTAACACCCTACCTAATGCAATCATAACCTCAAGGAGGCACAATATAACTCATTTAATAATCTCATTTCTTCAGTGAGTCTGCAAAAGTTTAACCAAGCACACGGTCTTCCATCTCTAAGAGATGAAATTGTGAAGTTGTTTATTATAATGAACAATGGATTAACATGGCTAGTATGCAATTCCTTTAAAATCCACCCAGGTAGTTTTTCCTCTACATCGTACAATAGTTTACAAAGCCACAGGCTTTTCCAGGATCTACAGCTGTAATATCAGATGTACCTTGACAGAGAAAATCATCTTTTGCAATTGTCATGTATTACCACATTAGTTATTTCAGACAATTTTGACAGGCTTCTTCCAAAAGAATATCACTTTTGACAAACAGGCTTGGAAGCAGACAAGGCAAGAAATTGTTCTCTTCCCTGTGAAATTCTGGTATTTTAAATGTTCCTAGTTTCTGTCTTGAGTCTTTTAGCAAATCAACAATGGAAACATATTTATTAAAGTATCAAAATAGAAAACATTTGCATGAACTCACACTAGGCCGGCCACAAAGCTCACTGACAGGCTTTCAATAGTTTTCAACAAAGAAGGCTCTAATACAGTTAAAAGTATTGATTTTGTTGAAAGAAGGGAAATAATATTTTTTTTCTGTAATGCAGCTCACTTAAGTATCATACATAAGTGACAAAGAGAACCAGCTAGGGATGTTATGAGCTAAAGTAATATAGAAAACAGTTAACAAATCACAACCAACTCCATAATACACGAATACAGGAGTTTAATTTCTTTGTCCAAGTTTACTGCCAATGCGCTAAGCCACCAATATTCCTACAGGAGTGTTGTTTGTCTCTAAGATTTGTGAAACATTGATAAACAGATAAGAAATTAATGTAGTTTTTTATTCCATCAGAATGGCAATTAATGACATACATTTAAAAAAATCATAACACTATCACTGGAAAAATTACTCACAAACTTGCAAGACAGTCTAATGCACACCGTGAACTCAAAAAGAAATTGCTAAAAGAAGTGGAGGCTGTTTAAAATGTTGAAATCATTTGCTCAGTTATCACAGTTGTTTACAAGCAGTGGAGTCAAAGGCTAATATATTCTATATACTTAATACCAACCTGTAACAAACTTTTTTGCTCCATGTAACACAGGCCTGTGAGATAATACATTTCAGCAGCCTCAAATGTATTAGGGAGGATTTTTGCTGAGGTCATCAGGAGCTTCATAGCTTTTTCAAAACTTCTCACAGCATCCTACAACACAGAGAATATTAACAGTTGTAAATCACTTAACTGAAAATCTGCAAGATTTGTTAGACATTTTAAATTATTTTAGATTTTTTTCTTAGTCTTTTTTTGGAAATTTATGGTAAAAATTACTAGTCTAGTGTCCCTTGATGTTGCTAGAGTTAGACACACTCTTGACCTCTGAGTGGTTCATATTAATAACTGATTAGAAAAACAGAAATATTCCTGAGTTTTATTTATTTACTTACTTTTTCACATGAAAAAGTAGCTAATGTACATGATCTAGAAATAACATACAAGTTCATTTGTACTGTTATTTAGGTACATAGTTAATTATATTTATACATTTTACTCATGCTTATTTCCTTGGGAAGAAAAGGTATACCTTTTGATGATGTCTGATGATAATGAAGTACTTGCTCAGGTTTCTTTATGTAAATAATGAAAAACTATTTATTCGATAGACAACTTACTAAATTTAATAACCATTAAGAAATACATTAAAAGGATCAATCCTGTATAGGTATTGAAGGAACTTAAGTGAATAGCCTCTCAGAATCTTACCATGCCTCATAGATCTGGGAAATAATTTATGCATATTTAATAATGCTTTGGTTTAAAGGAGAGTAAGGAAAACAACAAAAAATTACGAACAGTTCAAGATAAGCCATTCCTCAGCCTTTGAGGATTATGAAGGGACCACAGTTGAAAGTTTCAATATCAAGAAGAGTAAAAGAATTATAGCATTTTTTTCTGAAGTGACTCTTTCAAGATGAAGAAATATTTGTTTAGAAAAATCAGTTTGAAATACCAGTGAGCATAAGGCTGTCTGCAAATACTACACCTGCCTCCCTAAGTTGTCAAGGCAGTAGCAGTTTCAAACAAAACATGACTGCATTTACTGCTATTTAAAAATCTTTTTCTTCTATTCCTACATTCAAAAATACTCTTATTTAAAGAGGAAAAAGAACTGTAGATAACAGAACTCACTCACATATAATTCAAAAGGCATAGCTGATTCTCAGGGCACTATAGCCTGAAGGCTGATCATTTTCCCATATTGAGAGTATTGTGCCATTCCGCTCCAGAAGAGGTGGCAATGCCCCTCTGGGTGAAGCACTGAGAAATCAGACTCCATCTATCTATCAGACTCTAATACACATCCTCTTAACCATGACAACTGAAATGGGTTAAACTGGAGCGTACTAATGATCACCATCTTTGACTTGGCATTCTTTCAAAGACAGCAGAACTAACAGTGTTCCATTATGGTTTGAGACAAATAAAACACCGGACCCTAATGAAAAAAGCTGAATGGATCAAGAGGTTCTATCTGGTATAAGCCCAGGGAGCAGAAGTACAATTTTTGCAAAGTGCACACCTTTCATTTAAAAAGAACCTGCTAACACAAGGCTAAGAAGAAACAGAAGGACTGTGCATTTCAAACACAGAACTCAACAGATCGGTAGATTCAGGTTTTATCAAAGTACCTGTTGCTTGCTGCTATTGTGTTTAGGTAAAGAGCACTCTGTACATTTTGCATAAACAAATAGGACTGTACAAAAAGAAACAGCTAATCCCTACTGCCAATTTCAACAATTCTGCAGGCCTCAAATATTGGCTAACAGCAGGAGTCAGAGGAGTGACAATATTGGTTAAACCCGATGACATATGAATATTCACAAAGTTGAGAAAATACCTATAACTATACATTACATATTCAGTTCACATATATGAATTAAATTTTTGTACGGCATTTTTTTAGACAAAAAAGGCTAGACATACTTCTGTATTATTTTATCTCAAAATAATCAAAATTATGACATATAATGGAGGTCCAATCTACGTAACTATCTTTTAATTTATCATCTCAAATGTTTTAAAACTAAAATTGCCAAATTTATGCTGAACTATTAGTGTTGTTGAAAATTCTTATTCACGTCTTCTCATAGTTTAAACAATTAGGTACTCTGAAGGTTTATTTATATACTAGCACATTTCATAAAATATTAAAAGAATACAGAATGAAAAACATTGTCTTTCTTGGCATATATAGAATGGAAACTTTTCTAACCTTAGTCTTCTTGGCTTTCATTTGTATTTTTCCTAAAATAACAAACATTGAAGGCTCAGGTTGAGTTGCAGTAGCTTCACATAAGCACTCTATGGCCTTATTGTGATTTTGACAAAATGACTGAATGAGTGCTTGCTGAACAGGCTGAGATGGAAAGCATTCTGGAAGGAAACCACCATGAAAAACAATCTTTGTACTTCAACCTATATGTTTTCCAGTATAAAATACCTTTAAATGATATGCAAACTTTAAAATGCTATCAAAATATTTGGAGTATCAAAGCTGGTTTTAACATCTATAAAAATACAAATGTAAACTAAATTCCTACAACAGTCTGAGGTTGAACAGTTATTTATCAATGAGTGTAGTTTGATCGCTAAACATCTGCAAATATTTACCTTCCTCTCCCTACATCTAAGAAGGCTTTGCTCTGCAGAACTATCACCATATACCTGCTTTGTTTTTATATTCTTGTGCCCTGTGTACCCACTCTTGGTCACTACCAGAGACAGGAAATTAATCTCATACAGTGTGGCTATTCATATGGATTCACCAAGAGCTTCAGGACACACTGAACACTGCCATTTTATGCCCAGCACGTAACAAGGAACTACTATAACTGCATTGGGAAGTTTCAGTTCTAAAGCTATTTGATATTTTGTTAGGAAAGACTGTACATAAGTACAGAACAGAATCCTTACTCAATATTCCTTTAAAGCAGAAATTACCAGTATTGAAAAGTAGAAATAAAAAACAACAAGAACTCAAAAGATAAAGGAAATTCTGAAATCACAAGTGATAGTACAGGCAATAGTGTACACCATTATTACCTTTAAAGGCTTCAGACATGCAAACAAAATACTCTAGATAATAAATTCCTATATTTTAGCTGATTCATGGTAACCAACCTATTTGCATGCCTGAACTTTTTTTTTTTTTTTACACAATTCCTTGGTTACAGACTGTTTCCATGGTTCACAACTATCTAGGAAAATTGATGGAAATTGATGTTACCTTCATCCATTTCTGCAAGTTGGTGAATACATAAACTTGCCAGCTCATATTTCTTCAACTCCATCAAATACTGTCCCCTGTAACAAAATATTTGTTGGGTGTAATTAGTAAAACTATTTCCAGGCATTTCTTTCAACATGCAAATACTACTGAAATATGTTTTCATTAGTGTAAAAACTGAAAAAGAAAAAATAATGCCTTCCAATAAAAATATCCAAAGTTTTTCTTTTTTTTTTACCCATCAGAAATATCTATCAAATTTTTAATTTTTTCTCTCACATCACAGTACCAAGAAATTATATGCTTACCTCTCTTCAGATTGTAGGAGTTACAAAATTACATTTTCTTTGTATTCCACAGATAGTAATTTTTACAATCTCGAGAACTGCAACAATAATCTTATCAATACTGTCTCTAAAATCCACTGCTGACTGATAGCTGATAGATACATTCTGTTTTCAAGGACAATATTTTGCCTCTTCAGACATTGGCATCAGTATAAGAGGTCACACTAGCCAAACCATACTGACAGACGAGCTGAGAAAAGCCACTCTTAAAATTCGGAAAATACAGTATTATTGACTGGAACATAGTAACTAATTCTCCTAATACATCTGAGAAATAACGTCCTAGCATTTCCTCCTTAGTTCTTACAGCTTTTCAGGGGAGGGAACAGCTTTATGTAGTAATTTATTTTTCAGTCTTGGTAAAGTTCACTACTTCTCACTGGGCTGAAGATGAGGAAGAAGAATAGTTCAAATCTAAATTGGTCTGCACTCAATCCTTCACATTCTTTTACGTTACGTGGATTCTGCAGACAAATCAGTGAAGGACCCATCCACTTGCAGAAAACATTTAAAATTAACAATTTTTTTAAAGTTCAGACTTGCTATTTTTGTGATGGCACCTTTTTACTACTTTTTCCCCAGAAATTACATGTATCTCAAAGAGCAGAATCCTGTATATGAAACAAGGTTCCTCCCTCCAAGGTAACGGTTACAATAGTTGGGTGGTGCTATGCAGATAAAGTTCTTCAGATTTGAAAATACTATGAAAATACTACATTTTTAAAAACTCATTCAGAGCAGGTATCAAAGAATACAAGGGTATCTACCAAAGCATTCCAAATGGAATTTTTTTTAAAAGTGAGATATCTGTGATGTTCTCAACTAATCACTTTCCTACCTTAATATGCAAAGCTGTGATATATTTGGATAAAGATGAATAGCTCGGTTTATATCCTTCACAGCATTTGGCAAATTATGAATCTGTAATTTATAAAGAAAAACAGCAATTTAATTGCCAATATGAACACATATTGGAGTAACTGGAGACACAATTACTATTTCTGTAAATGTGGTTCTGCAGGATGTAATGCCCACATGGACACAACTCACAAGGCACATACGTCCTCTGTAAAGGAGCTCAACATGCTTTTAATAAAGGTCTGAAACATTTACCCTACATAGTTCCATACTCTCCCACAGGGCAGATCCAAACTCCAGACAGTTTCTTTACTTTTCCTAAATCCAAAGAGTCTGGACTACTGGGAAGGAGATTAGGTCATGAGATCCACATGCACATATGTCCTGATGAATCTTCATTGCTGTAATGAATTTGCATTTATTTTTCAAGTGTCTGTGCATGTGGTCCCATTCAGTATGTGTCATATGCTGAAGAGAAAGGAGATCATTACAGTGAAAATCCCAAGAACTGATTCATCCAGCTGGGATAGCTTCTAACTTGAACTCTCATTGAAGAACACTGATGGAATACATGTACTGAGCTTTATTTTATTGCTTTACATTGAAATTAAAAAAAAGGCCAAAAAAGCCCCAAAAAAACAACAGCAAGAAACCTGCAAAAGCAACCTGAGCATTAGTGGATGACCCCCAATATAAACTGTCAGGCACAAGTTCTTAAAAACAGTTTAAAAAAAAAATAGTATGATCAGAGGGATGGAACACCTCTCCTATGAGGACAGGCTGAGAGACTTGTGGTTGTTAAGTCTGGAGAAGAGAAGGGGACATCTTTTTTCAGCCTTCCAATACTTAAAAGGGGCCTATAAGAAAGATGGGGACAAACCTTTTAGCAGGGTCTCTTGCGATAGGACAAGAGGTAATGGCTTTAAACTAAAAGAGGACAGATTTAGACTAGATCTAAGGAAGAAATTTTTCACAATGAGAGTGGTGAAACACAGGAAGAGGTTGCCCAGAGATATGGTAGATGCCCCATCGCTGGAAACATTCAAGGTCAGGTTGGATGGACCTCTGAGCAACCTGATCTAGTTGAAGATCTGAGTTTCCTGAAAAATTAGTATTCTCAAGAAAATTCTGTTTAGAAAACACTGTATTTCAAAAATTTAATTTTATATTTAAAAAATATATATTTTCAAAAAAAAATTTAAATACATTTCAAAAAATTATTAAAGCTCAGATTAGATGTACACTGATGTAGAAAACAAATGATACTTGAAATATTTTGTGTCATTGCATTACATGCCAACAATATTTTACACCTGCAATGTAAATCACGGTGACAAGAGTTACCTGAAACATATAGCTACAAGCAGGTTCTAACATCTGTATAACACCAAGGCATAAGGATTAAAATACTTACAACAACCATAAATATAAATAAAGCTATATTAAGTGGCAAACAAAAGCAAAAGGAATGTATTACCTTATGATATGCTTCTGCTCTGCATACATAGGCTCGAACATTGAGAGGATCAATTGCAATGGCATTAGTAAACTGTCGAATAGCTTCATCGTATCGATTGAGATGCAACAGCAGTATCAAACCAATATTTAGGTAAGCAAAGATGACAGAGCTAAAAACAGATTTTTTTCCTTTTGTTATTGCATGAAATATGTCACTGTATTAACCATAACTTATACAGGCTTCATCTACTTTTATGACATTTACCACACATCTATTTTGTGATCACACTGAGCTAAAGAATTGTAATTGCCAGCAGAGGAGATAGATCATTAAAAAACACCATTTCAGTAGCTTGTGATGTTTGGCTGCACACTAGAGGCTCTCTGATCACCAAAACCAGCACTCCAAATGTGAATTGTGAAGAAATGATGGTAAGACTCTGTCGTAGAAGCTGGACTAGAAATAGGGCTAGCTAGTAATTTTGTATATACTGAATACACTGAGAAATACTGAATTCTTCAACACTAAAAACACACCGTAGTTTTAAAACAATGACAAAGCATACACGTTTTCCATCTAGCCTGCTCCCTTATTTTCTGTCATTACACTTGGCTAGCTGCTAGGCAGACCTGGGTATTCAAGATCTGCAATATCTTGTGCAGCCCACTCTTACAGACTGTTTCTAGGCAAAGTTCAAGAATTCCTATAGCAGAGCCAGGAGAAAAAAGAGCTGAGGGGTCTTTAGGCCTGCCACAGATTGGAATGGAAGACTTTGCTCAAGACAGGACTGTTGAGGTTGCCCAAGGCTGAACAAGAACTCAGTACCTTTAGAGTAAGGTAATTAATGCTGCTAACTGGTATGGGAGGCTTGTTGCATATTGTAAGACCATTTGCATGGCAGGGCTGCTACAGATACAATCTATTTCTGAAGTATTTTCAAGTGGTAGGAAGAAATGCAATTCAGAGAAACCACATCAGGTTCAGTCACCAACTATTAAGGACAACAAACAGCATTTTTTAAAATTTTATTTCAAGGACACCGTTTACCGGCTTTTGCTAAAGAAAACATTGTGGCATTTTCTTTTTTGAGGGATCAAAAAAATAGTTTGACATTTTACCTGCATCGTGAACAGATTCCCTCCCAAAAAGACTAATGAAATTATTATGGCATGAGTAGTCAACTTTAATTAGGACTTCAGTTTCATCTTTTCTCTGCCAAACCTGACTAATACATTTGCCAAGTTGCCATGTAAGGCAAAATAAAATTTAATTTTTAAATAAATTAATAATTATTTTTATTATACTCAGACTATAGTAAATGAGGCAAAAGGTACTAGAAGACAACATTATGTTTTTCTGTGGTTTAATTCCAGTCTATTTGCTGAATAACAGTTCTGGTTCTACTTTCCTTTATTAGTGCTTTTATGCCCCCAGGTAATCAGAATATAAACAACATATATTAAAATTCTCAAGTCCAATCACCTGTCCAAAGCTAGGACACTTTCAAAGTCACAGATTGCAAGTGACCATTGACACTGTTCTGAGTAAACAATCCCACGATGAAGAAAAGAACAGAAATTTTCCCGAGTGTCATTGATGAGCACTGTGGGAGAGGGAGAATAAAAATCAACTGTTCAGATATTCACATATATTTCAGTTACTCCATGCAACTTACTTGCACATTACTTTTTACTCTAGCTTTCTTAGAGTTTTATAAAATATCATAGATAAACCGTAACATAACATATTAGATCATAACAGAAACTGTTCATTGTAGTGTGAAATACCTTCAAGCCATATTCATAATTCTCAGTTAGACCCACTCAAATTGTAAAAAGTGAAGCAGAAAAGCTTAGGAAGCAGAGGCAAAATAGCTGAAGAAAAACAACAGTAGCAAGAGTCAATGTCTAATAGCAAACTTAATAGAAAAGGAGCAAGTTATTACCAAACACTGAACGATAACCATACGTTTCAATATTTGCAGCATGAAATACCTGTGTTATATTGCCATATAGTAATTACTGGTGAATAGTCATTCCTCTTTTTAGTAATAAACATACACACCATTAAAAGAAACAAACAATACCAGAAACACTGAAGTCCTGCACAGCTCTTTTTGGATCAACCTGTCGTAGTATGCAACCTCTGTAGTAGAATGCTAACCAACAAGAAGGGTCTAGATGAACTGCTGCTGCTAAGTCTTGGACTGCTTTTCTATATTGGTGCTGCTTAGCATATGCTCTTCCTCGATACAGCCTAATAAGGAAGAAAGTTGCTCTTTAAATATAATTTCCCTTAGAAAATTATATCTACAGAATGAAGTCATAGTGTGAAGTCATAGACTATTATTCATAATATTAACAGGTTGAATCAAGATTTCTTCCATTGTTCTCGTCATACAACCTTGAAGCAATTATTCAGGAAAAAAAATTGAAAAATAGAATAAACGTTCCATTTTATTTCTGAATTTAATAAAGCAAGTCTGAAGGAACAAAGTCCAGTAATCTATACCATATAATTAGGTCACTGAACTTGCATAAATCAAGTTCATTATAACAGAACCCTGTATCAGCTTTGGGCACCAGAGTTGAATGGAACTCTCTCCAAGTTCCATAGTGTATTGGTGCAGCAGTTTTTGTATAGGAAATACCAAATTTTGTTAAATCTGATTTAAAAGAAAAAATATAAAACTGCCCTCACTACTATTAAAGCTTTCTGAAAACATCCATTCTATTCTTCAATATTTCTTTTAAACAGACAAGTTGATCAAATCAGATCCTGCTATTTTATACTATTCCTCCCTCAAATTTAGGAAGCTAGCAATATATTTAAACAAGATAAATCACAAGCACAGGTGTAAAAGTGTGAATAGACAGCAATGGCTGTAAAATTATTTTATAAATGAAAAATGTAATATGTAAAACATATTTTTGTATTACAGAAGATAGCTTTCACTTATTAAGCAAGCCTTATGCCACATCCCTCTTCTGTGCAGAGTTGTCATGCAAAACAGATACTATTCCTTTTTCAGTCTAACACAGTAAAGTCAGTTCCTCAAGAATTTAAATCACATGCTTAACTCTACAACAAACACAAAGCACTGATATTAATCATACTTACTAGGACTATTCACAGAGCCCACATTATCAACATGTGAGCCTCAATGAACTAGTGGATTTCAGGAAACCAAATGCAGCTTTATGTTACTTCAAGGTTTTATTTCAAAGTAAGAGTTTTAAGGATCATCTGTAAATTACTTTAGCAGCACAGGAACCTAATGTTGTAAGAAAGATTTGCATGATTCTGTGGTTCCCTGCAATGAAGGAGATGGACTGACAGAAGACACACATAGGGGAATCCTTCCCTATCCAATTCTATTCAGTTCGGATGGTAATTAGTTCCAGGATAAGACCTCTAAACTTAGGTGTCTATTTTTAGATATCTACAACATATGTTAGGTGTCTGACTATCCATCCAGTTGATGAAAACCAAGTCAATATAATCCAAGGAGACAAGAGCAATTCAGTTCATCCTAAAATATACACTTACTAGCTGTTCAGTTGAACAGCTCTTCATGCTTTACAGAAGAGTCTATATTCAGTCTACCTAGAGTCTACTACCTGTATTGATTAGAGTCCTTAGTGATAATGGCTGCTCAGACACCTACACTCCATGGATACAGCAAGCTGACACTTAAATTCAGGTATCAATCTGGTATTGAATATCTGTTTTTATTTTTATTTTACATCCATTTTCATGATTAAGAATAAAATATAAAATATAAAAAGAATGTAAATCTTCACAGGAATTATATTAAAAAGAAGACACATTTCATAGTAGAGAAGTCATATAATATTTTTTAGTCTTTGTAATTCAAACATCAAAATTATCATTATAATTCAAAAATAAAGATGCTTCTCATTCATAATTCAAATCTTTCACAGAAAACGTTAATTCAGCATAATGCTAAAACTAGAAGTGTCAAGGCAGCCAATGGAAATTAGGCATAGAACTATGTAATCCTTAAGGACATTCTTCACTTTGAGCCTGTATTTAAATCCAGCTCTTTAGAGCAAAGCACATATGCACGTGCTTAAGTCCAACTGACTCTATATTTGCATTACTCCAGGGGGATCTGAGCACATGGTTCTATGATTAGTTAAATTAAGGTCTAGGGACTAATCCAAAATCATTAAAGCAATACAAAGATTCCCCAATGAATATCACGGCCTAGAAGTCTTCTATTAGACACCTCTTTGGAAATGCAATTGCTTTATTATTGTTTAATGCATGTGCAGTCTTTTACATATTAATATTGTTTTAACAATCCACTTAAAAATTCAAATACTTTTGTCAAACTACATATTCTACCTCGCCTGAGCATCGCTGGGGTCTTCCTTGATCACAGCTGTAAAATCCTGAATAGCTGTAGTCAAAACCGAATGGTCAAAGAAATGTATTCCATGTTTCATAAGGGCATCTGTTCTTTTTGGGTTATACTGAAAACACTATAATGAAAAAAGTAAAGTGGTACATGATGTTATTCCTCATTCTTATTATTTCTAATGATCAAAAGTCTTAACCAAGCATAAAAATAATATATTCTTTTATTCTCAGATTTTCTTTTTTGTTCCTTTGTCTTTAATGCCTATTTTCATTTCCATTAACTGTAAAGTGAAATAAAAAAGGAATTATGCAAGCTTATTAATGGCTGACAATTTGTAAACATTCAGTAATTTATTGAATTAGCTGGCAGGAGTAACAGAAGTTACTTATTTATTTTCATAGCACCTTTTTTTTTTTAAACATCATTTATTTGAAAGGTTATCTGTGCTCCAAGTTACTTACCAGATATATCCAAATACAGTTTATTTTTACTAAAGTTACGTGAAGTTACTACATTACTGTAACAATACAAAAAAGTGAACTTACTTTTGCGTAATCATCCATGGCCAGTAACAGCTGATTTCCCTCAAAATACAGCTCAGCTCTCCTAAAGTAAATGTCATCATCTGTAGGGCTGCATTGTATGGCAGAGCTATAATTGATGATTGCCAGCGCATTATCACCTTGTTTCCTGTAAATTTCAGCCATTGACAGGTATGTATCTGAAACAACCACCCAAAATATAAAAGGCACTATTTGGCAGCCCAAAACAATAAATTGTCTCCTCCTTACAGGGTAATTAACACAAGCAGTAGAAATAGAACAGCAGATTATACAAAAGGTTGGGAAGTCATGTTTTAATTTGAGCAACAGAACTCAAAAGTTTAGAGCTATAGCTCTGTCCCCAGTTGTGTTGCCCATGCAGATGTAAACTGATAGCTCTCACTGGATTCACAGGTAGTAAAAATTTTTGCTCTCTGTAGAGCTCTCTAGAAATGGCCCAACAAGCCATTTAGTGTAGGCCTGTTGATCACAAACAAATATAAAGAGATTTAGTTTAAATGGGCCCACACAATATTTATCCCACTGTATTGGGTCTGGTCAAGATATAGTTAACTCTTTATAACTGCCTATATGGTGCTGTGTTTTGGATTTGTGGCTAAAACAGTGTCGATTACACAACAATGTCTTAGCCCTTGCTGAACAATGCTTGCACAGTATCGAGGTTTTATTTCTTCTTTCCGCCCCCCAACTCTGCCCTCACCCCAGCGAGTAAACTGGGGGTGGGCAAGAAGTTGGGAGGGGACAAAACTGGGGCAGCCGACTTAGGCAGGCCAAAGGGATATTCCATACCATATAACGTCATGCTCAGCAACAAAAAAAATAGGAGTAGAGGAAGAAAGGAGGGGGGATGTTATCTTCCACATGCAACTAAAATTCCCTTTGTTACAATCTGCGACCATTGCCTCCTGTTTTGCTGTGCATCTCTCCTAAGAGTCTGACTCTGTCTTCTCTGTTACCACCCATTATGTAGCTGAGAAGATCTCACTTTGAGCCTTACCTTCTGCAGGCTAAGTAACACATCTCCCTCGGCCTTTCCATATACAACTAGGGCTCCAGACCCTGACCATCTTAACGGCTTTCCAATGGACCCTCTCCGGCTTGTCTCCCTCATACCAGGGGTTGCAAAACTGGGCAAGTATTAGAGGTGAAGCATCACAACCTGGCAGAGGGGAATCACTTTCCCTGACCTGAAGGACCTGTCAAGCGGGTGGTATCTTTCCGGTTTAAGCCCCTCCTTCCCAGTTTAAAGGGCTGACAAGCACAATAGTACACCATCTCCATTACAGGATTATCATCAGCTTTCCACATTAATGAATACAACTTTCATCACTTAGAAACGCAACTTCTTGAAGCTTCTGTCCCAAGCCTTTGAAGATTCATGTCTGTTTCATAATCTTTTTGTAATATGGATAAAACAACTGATGTAAGGTTAAATACATACAAAAACAGTTGCAGAACTAGGGCCAAAGGCAAACAGAGAAAAAATACTATGAAAAAATTAACTGTTGCACTTCAATACTTACCAGCTTTATTTTTGCTCCATTTAGTTATAAAATTCAGGTCAGCCAAAGCAGCAGAAATTCTATCTTGAAAGAGGTAAATCAAATGCCTATGCCAGTAAGCATTAAGCAGTAGTGGTTCTAAGCTTATAGCCTATAAATGAAATAATTAAATAGCTTTATGTTGCAGAAGGAATTTCTCAAATGTGCTAACAATAGTACAGACAAAATGAGAACATTTTTGCACTGAAATTATTTTTACTATTTTTTAAGAAAATTACTAGACTGGCAAACTTTTATTTAACTTATAAATCTGAAAAATTTTACTAATGTCACTTGTCTATTTAAAAGCATCACATACTTACACATATGAGAATCAGAGTCCAAGCTACCAGAATATTCAGCACCAAATATTAATCAGCTGGGATACCACCATGTTTGATGATTTCTTTAAAATAGTTATCTGAACTATTTCTAGAAGTCAGAAATAATTAACCTGTCCCTGTGAAAAACGAATCAGCTTTTCAAACCATGCTGTTATGATTCCTATAGAAAGTACTTAACATTCCCTAACAAAAAATCACTTGACAAATATTATCAGTCAAATAAGATAGTTCACATATGTTCATTATACATATAACACACACTTAACAGCTGTATGGAAATAAATATGGAGACTGATACAAATTGGAGACTGTTCTCCTACAAACAGTAATTCTCAAATTTTGGTCTATAAACTATTCCTAGGATCCACAAACTACATAAGAATTGTGTTCATATATCTTCAAGAGAAAAGTCAGTAAAGTTTTCACTAAAATATGCAACAGCAATGGCAGGCAATTTTGACAGTTGGTATCAGTCCATTGGTCAATGAATCACTTTGCCAGGGTGTGGAATTTTTAGCCTTTCAGATCCTTGACAGTCTAGGGGTGATTTTATCCTTGAAAGTTTGGGGTGAATAAAAAAACCAACAAGATAATCATTGATTTTTTATGAATATGGCAAATTTTCTGGTCAGATAATTTATGATGTTTGAAAGGTAATGTGTACAGATTGAAAGTGCATAAAATAGGTACCTATGTCCCATTAAAAATAAAAAATATATAGGTTTATCCCCAAGAAAAGCATTAACAAAAATGGTATTATAAAACAAAATTTCACCCTAAGACAATATGCATTTTGGGAAAGGCAAACTCTAGAAATAAAGTAAAATCTGAAGGGTGAATCTCACTGCAGGACACGCTGTAAGCCTCCTTAAAATTTGTTGTGTCTTGAGACTGTTAGCTGAAGGGAGTGCAAAAACCAACATGAAGCCAAGCTGGTTTGTACTTCATTGTTTCACTCCTCTGCACATTTCCAAATATTCCAGCTGACTGAGCTTTGCATTTCAGCAAAAGAAATAATATGTACATTATTTAAAGGTGCCTGTTAAGATTGCTTTCAGGGACACTGGCAGATCGACGGCGGTGTTCTCCTACAGAGCAATATCAACACAAAAGATCTGGTTCAATCTTGCATCATCAAGCCCTCCAGTACAAGGATCCTGGACCCCAAAGCAGTTGCTGGGGATTGCTTCTGGAAACACCAAATGCTATCTTGAGACGAGATCTTGGTTAAGGAAAGAATGACACCTTTTGCTGGACAATGTTATATATAGGATGAAGTACTTCACGGTCCCAACCTGGTCATGACTAGCTGTCTGTAATATAGATGCTAAATGACAATGAAAATACCATACCGAAAGTACAACACATGACTTCTCTACCCAGGTTTCACAAACATACAGAACTATACCATTGCTTAAAAAATGCCTTTGAAAGCTTTTACAGCTTCCACATTTATATTATAGAATTTTAAAATATGCTTTTCATTTCTGTTTTTTCAGCAATGTTTTTATTCTGTTTTGGTTGTTTCTTTCTAATTGTGCAGCATCTTGGGCAGAAGTAACAGCAGGTTTGTAGCATTATAAAGGGAACTTGAAAGTGGTGAAAAAATAAACATACATAGAAAAACACTAGTATTATTGAATAAGATCTTAGTGTCAAATGATAGTTTAATTATAAAGAGGAAATACATGACTTGTCAATTTATTTGCTTACTATGCTTTTGCAGAAATTAAAAATGTATTTGTCAGCAGCAAAACTTGAAGCAAAAAATTTTCTGTCCTTTTTGTCTATCCTATCTCCAACTCTACTTAGGAGTGTTGTATTCTGAGAGAGGGTCTCTAAAGAAACATTATAGTGCTTGGAGAACACTAGGGTAAATAACTATAGTTTATTAGGAGCTTGCATCTTCATTCTGGTGGAACTAAACTTGGATCATGCTGTCATACAAAAGTAAAAGGTGGCAGAATTCAGCTAGTTATCAGCTCTCCTGCTTCTAGTTCTCAGGTCTCCTGCTTCTAGTTCTCCACCTGTTGACACTCAGTTAAAAAAAAAAAAAAAAAAAGAAAGAAACAGTGCTTGATAGAAGTAAAACTTGGCATTACACTTACTTTTTCCAAGTCATCCATAGCTGACTTTAACTTGCCTAACTTTCTTTGTATTGCTCCACGCCTGCAGTAGTGAAAAGCTGAAGGATGCTCTTCTGTTTTTATTAGCTCAGTCAGTCGTCTTACTTCTTTTTCTAAATCTCCAATACTAACTGTTGCACCTTCAAGAAGAACAGGCTGTATTAAGTCAACTAGTTCGATTTGTAGATTTACTTCTTCAGAGTCCATTGTCTCAGTTCCTTTTAGTAATTCAACATCCTTCTCAGCAGCAGTCCCACTAGGAGGGAAAGTTTCATCAAACCAGCAGTTCCATATTCCACTGACCCACATGCGAGCAGAAGTTTCTTTTGGAATTCCACCCCTCACTTCTGCAAACTTTTCAAAATCTAACAAGCAAGGGATGCTGGGGCTCTGATATTGTTTGGTTGCTGAAGACACCTTGATACTGAATTTATCATGACTAGGAAGTCTTCCCAGAGATACAGACCTAAGGAAAAATATATAAGAATTAACTAAAGGTTCCAGATACATTAATGATATCAAATTGCAATCTGCCTGTCAGCAACTATTCAAAAATCTGTTGTTAGCTCTTGTTAATGATAAATGTTTATATTATCAACCATTTATCAAAAATCATTATTGAAGCTGCAGGTAAGCAGAACTGTTCTGAATGATTCATGTCCCCAGAATGTTCAGCACTTATTCACAGTTGCATGCTTATTTTCTCCAAAAGTTTCTAACTTTGATTTACAAGGACAATACTAAACCTAAAAAAGGACAATATTTCAGAGTGGACAATTACCAGCATGGCTAAATGATGACCAACTCTAGATGGATTACCATATCAATGGTAGATCCCAATGATATCAGGAAGAGGCCATAAGAATATAAGCAGAAGCACCACCACCCATAGGTGAAAAAAGTACTTGAGTTTACAAGGACCTTTCCAAAATGATAATCTGGAAGAATACATAGCTTCCAAGATGAGAACCTTCACAAATGTTCTCAACATCTGCTTTGAGACATCAAATTGAAAGAAACAGAAGTCTTTAACAGAAACACTTAATCTTTATCACAAATACTAGCCTTGCTAACACAGAAGGGAATACAGAGAAAATATTTTATATATATATATAATACTATGTACCTAATATTTATAATATTTTATACATAAAGAACCTAAAGAAAAAGGGATATTAAATATAATTGTAGCAGGCCCGTGCATGAATGACATGCAAAATAGTGGAGATGAAATCCCCTTGGTTTAGCAAAATTGATATGAAAGCCTTAGACAGCAAAGAACATACAATATCCATGTCTAAAACAAAACTTTGGAAAAAAGCCACCTTCTCCCTTAGTCACAGCTCACTATACCAGTAAATGACACCATTTAAATATCTTTGATTTTTCTTAAGAATAAACATAGTGAAAGATGCCTAAAAGTAGAAAAAAGGAGAAGCTGAATGGAAAACTGGCCTGAAGGACCAGGCCTGAGCATCAGTGTAAGTACAATGTGGACACATATTACAAAATAGTATACACAAAATTCTAGTACACAAAAAGCAAAAGTTAGGGTTCTTTTGCAGGTCACACTTCAAGCATAAGTATTTAAGAAATATCAAAAAAACTAGCAAGAACATTAATTTTTTTTTAATAGTTGAATAATTTCTAAGGTAACCCATATCTGAAGTACATAAATAATAAACATTCACTAGAAAAATATTTAGAGTGATACATGAAAACAAAAGGTAAAAAGCAAACTACTTGTTTGATGTAATCTACAAAGTTCATGGTATAAAGGTTAGTCCAGCCTAGCATTTTGGTTTCCTAAGAATTTAGAACTTCCCCCTTGTCTTTCAGAAGAAAAAGGTTTGACCATTTTAATCATGCATTTATACTTAAATAAAACTTTTTCTGTTGTTGCATGAAGCAACACCATTTCCATTTAAAGTGCAGTATATACTAAACGCCCTAAAGATACCTGAGCAGTATGTATTTTTTCTCTGCATTAAAAAAATATATATTATTCCTAAATAACTAAACTATTATTACTTAATTTCAGAGCAACATTTAATATTTAAAAAGATAAAACCTGTAATTAGATAATACAGCTACAAATTAAAATACATTCTTTAAAAAGTAATACTTGTTAATTAAAAGAAAACCTTTTAAGAATCTTTGGCGGTTGACTTAATTTCTTAATCACAGCTTCTAATTTTCTAGGGTTTATTATTTTCTTTGATTTCTTTGTTTTCTTTCTTCTTGGGAAAACAGTGTATTTAATCCCAGCCTTTTGAGGTCTCTCCATAAGAACAATGTCATTCACACTATCCTCTTGTCCAGTCAAAGTAGTCATTTTCTCTACTGGTATGTCTGTCTGCATTGACAGAGGATCATCACAGATTTGATTCAATAGATGCTTGGCAGGGGAGCTTTCCCCGATCTCTGTCTCAACTTCTGGCTCAGCTATCTGTTGCTTCATAACCTTCAACTCTTTCATGCTGGTTTTGAAATTAGCTGACATATTTAACGTAGTTTCATCTTTGAAAGCAGTCATCTCCAGAGCTGAGACTGATCTTTTAATCAAAATTGTCTGTTAAAAAAAGGAAACAATTTATTTAGAAGTTCACTTGAAATAAGATTTATATATCACATTTTCTTAGTTTTAATAGACTAGATTTTATTTTATATAAAATTTTAAAGAAAAAAAGAGCAACATGGGGACTACACTGCTGAAAAAAATTTATAGTATTTAATGAGAAAAAAAATGTGCATACCTCAGGATATGTGTCCTGAAAAGAGACCTGAAACATTAATTTACAGTCATTTGAAGCTCATAAAGAGCTAAAATCAATCTTCTTTAAAAAATGTCACAAGAAATTTGAATTAAATACCCACAGTCCTTGTAGGAAAGTTGAATTTTAAAATAAAAGATGTATGCCACTGGTCATGACATTTACAAAAAGATGAAATGAGATTTCATGAACTCAGAAGAAAAGACAGGAGGACCCTGTATGATATTTGGAAGTACAACTGCATTATATGGAAAACAGTTAATATCTTAATGTAATTATGCAACCTCATACTTTGTTACCCCCATCCCTGAATTGCCTGACAAAATCAAAATCAAAAGAATAACTGTCACCCTCTGGTGTTTAATTGTTATTCATTATTAAGCAAGTACTATTTGCAATAACAAATGTATTGCTTCTCAGTCTTCTTGTTAATTCCAGTTCACTAACTTGCACTATAACACTAGGCATAACACATCTTTGTCAAAGAAATTAAAGTGCAATTTCATGTGTACTGTCTGAAACTTACAGAGGGGAACACTTGTGAGCAATAAATAAAATAAATGAGAAAATAAATACAGCATTGAATAATTTTAAATAATTTTTAATTATACTTTAAGAAGCACTTTTTCAATGCTTGGTCACAGACATCTGCTAATTACTTAATTTATATATTTATTACAAAGACACCGCATCAGCCTTGAGTTTATTTTAATAACAATTTAAAGCACTCCATTCAAGTAACTTAATATCTATCATTCTTTATCTGTGGTAATCCATTATACCCTGTGAAGTTTTGAAAAGATTAAAAAAGAAATCTCAATGTCACAAGTGTGCTGGTTTTCTTCAGGAAAATTATTATTTTTTTAAAGATCTAAGCTTCATACAGAACTATTAAAAACTGAAACTCAGTGTAAAGCTATCATTTATCACTACGTGTGTCTATCATTAGCTGTCATTCATCACCAAATCAAACAGTTTGACTGCAAATTGCATAAATATTGAATTGTTCCTTGATAAATTCTTTCAATGAACTATGCATAGTTTTGCTAAAGGATTGCTAGCTGAATTCAACAAAACTACTTCTATTTGAACATGAAACTAGTATTTTAAAAACCAAACATCAATGCTTACTTCAAACTGCAAATCTGGTGTTTAAATTATTTTATTTGTCATTGCATACAAACTGCTGCCATGCTTCATGTCCATCTTTAAAATAATATGGTCACAACATTTTACGCAGGTCTTTATGGAGTATCTAGAAGTTTTCAATACATACATACTCCTCAAACTCTTACTTAAAATCAAATTTCTTAATAAAATATTACTTGTATAATGCTATCAAGGTCATCTTTGCACAAGTGTAACATTTGTACAGTTTATTGCTGCTTTATGTATTTTGTGAAACAGCTAGCATAACTTCAATAGCCATAGAAGTACATAGCACTTTACAGATTGGAAACTTAACAATCTTCATGCCCCAGTGTGTCTGAAATCCAGGGACCTGATACCACAAATCTTTACTCAGATATGTTCCACTCATTTCAGGTTAGTTAGAGTACAGGCTACTCACACTTGTCTCTATCCAAATGCCTATAAAGTTAATGGGGTTCTCATTGCAAAGCTATGTTCTCCTATTTAATGTAACCAATCCACTTGAAAAAGACCTTTGAAAATCACTTTTGCATCTAATAGGAAACATTAAGTTCAATTCAGTCCAGTGGAAGAATTTCTTCCACAAAATCACAGTTCAGGAACAAAGTAAGTACAAGTAAATACAAAATCATACCTCTGAGCTCTCACTGTCAGAAAAATCAGGCAAGGATTGGCATCTTCTCAGTAAACTTTTGGTCTATAGATAAAACAAAAACCAAAAGAAGTTTGAATTAGTCTGAGCCTAATATGAATAGAGCTTTCAGATACATTCTGCTTTTAAAAGCAGAGACTGCCAAAAATAGAGCTAATGTGTTACATTAAAAAAAATTTTACTGTAATACACACCAGTCCATAATCATAGAAATCATGATCATCTTGCTCAGCTTCTAACTCTTCTTCATGATCAGTGAAAAATTCTTCAAATACAACATCCTCAATAACATTGCTCTGAAATATCAATATATTTGCGTAATTGAATATGTGCAATACTATATTTTAGTCAGCTATAGAAAACATACTAACATAGTAACAGATAAATAAATAAATACTAGAACATATTTGAGCTAAAGATTTATGATGATCAAAACCAACATCACAGAAGCCATTTATCCTAGGCTTCTGATGGAGCACATTCTTTAACATGATCAAGAATTACATGGGGCAGAGAGCAAAGGAAACTTTTTATTGCTACCTGATTCTCTAATGTTTTTATCTTTAGCTTTGATAATTTGTCAGGTCACAGTAGTCCATATAAGAACACAACTCTCAATTTGGTCACAGTAAGGCTAGGAAATGGGAAACTATATCAGGTTTATTCCTGCTATCAATTAATCCATGCATAAGCGTGCTTTATCTCTTGCACAGGAGTGTGAACTGGTCATAAAATGCTAGTTTTATGGGCATACGATAGGCATGCCCTTTTATGTCAACGGCTCACCTCTTGCAATAATGTAATCAGAGTGAAGATTTTACATTCAAAACATTCCAAAACTCAAAAACATTGGCATTTTCTAAAATGGACTTTGTTAAATGTAAGAAATATTTTATTACATTTTAATAGAAATCACTGCCAGCATAGCAAAGCAGAAGAGAAACTATGCAAAAGTAGCTTTCAACATAAATGTAAGGACATTAATCAATTAAACCACAACAGCAAGGTAATATAATAACAAGTAGCAATTAAGAATAATTACTACCAGAAACTTTATTAATGTAAAAAATGACATTAAACAACATTATTCAACACATATTATGACAAATTGTACAATGGCTTATATACCATGTTTACAATATACAGAAGTGTTAATAAGATAGCAACACAAAATATAACTATTAGAGTCAACAATGTTAGAAAAAAACATGTATATCTGCAAAAGATGGGAACACTAAAAATACATTTAAAATATTTACCTCATATGTAGGAAATAAAATTTCCTTTAATGACGAGATTGGAGTAGAGAATTTTGGTGGAGCTGGAGCCCAAAACATTTTGAAAGCTCCTGGATAAATGGAAACCTTCAAAACCAATACAATTCAGTTATCAACTAACAAAAACCCAGTTTATAAATGTTTGTACTGAATCTGAACTATTAGGTGATAAAATGCTGTTTTCTGCTAGACATTTTTTGTCAAAAACAACCCCACTAAATACAATGAAATCCTGAGAGGTACAGGGCTCCACAGCCTGAATTAACTACCTGGTTTGCTCTTTCAGTGTTTTTGTTTGTTATTAATTAGCACATTTTATTACTTCAGAGAAAGAATTAAGAACTGACTCATGAGGTTTCAGAACAACCCTCCCCATTGATGAACTCCATATACATCTTTACATTGCATATTGTCAAATGTTGAAAAAATCAGTAGAACTTTATTTCCAAAGTGTTCTGTTATTTTGTTGCATGACACAATAATAAAAAAAAAACTTTTTCCCCAGATTTTTATCTTCATTTGTATGTTTGTGCATGTACAGAACACATTTATTTAAATTATTTCTTACTTTCTCTCCTAACAATTGCAGCTGTGGCTTTTTAAGACAATATTCAGCTACTTTTTGGCATCCAGTTAGACTTTTTGATGTATGAGGGGGAAGAAAGCGAATCCCATCTGCCCGATTATTCTGGAATTGCTCTGAAATAGGAACTCCTTCATAACAAATTCTGCAGCAACATAAAAGATGAATAAATTAATCTGATTATGTCAGGTATTAACAGCAGAGAAATAGCTTGGTTGTTAAAGACAAATAAAATTATGTAAAATTTAAATCAAATTAGAAATAAATGAATAAAACTTCTTTTTTCCCTAAACTAAAGATTGAAATTACTTAATATACAATGGAAACCTGGTGCCAAACCTGAAATTTTATAGTCATACACCAAATAATTTTAAGACGACTTTCATGATCAGGTCCATTATAGAAATCAGAAAAAAAATATAACACTAAGCTCTAAATTAGTATGAAATGCATTACATGCATAACTTCATGCATGCCTGTCGTGGTTTAGCCCCAGCCGGCCTCCAAGCATCACGCAGCCGTTCGCCCACTCCCCCACAGTGGGACAGGGGAG